ATCCGCTAGCCTTCAGGTACTGGCATGGCTAACTAGTACAGTAGCTAGCGATGGCGTGTCAATGTCAGCTGGACTGCAGCTAGGAATCAGATCAAAACGAGCCTGAACGCAGGACTGAACTAATTTCACCGTTCAGATTCCAGACGAAGAGAAGCCAACGCAGAGGGAGGAGCTACTTCCTATCGTCTTTTGAGGCCCTGAGCTTTTAGGCACCTGCCCGAGGCTTGTGGGACTGAGTTGTTAAGTTGATATTACAGTTGCCTTCTAATCTTCATCTAGCTCAGTTTGCACTGCTGTGCGAACTACAGCTCAACAGCTCAACAGCTCAACTGACTTGCAAAAGGCGATTGGATCACATAGCTGCCGCTTTTGCTCCACCATAATGCGGACCCTGTCCTGTACCCTTCAGCTTCTTCCCCTCAGAGTTCCAAGAAAGTCTTGACGAGACTCTTGTTGGTTCCAAACTTCTCAAACTTCAAGCTAAAACGGTAAGTGAGTTTGCTTGATGGGATGTGGATGGGTGCAAGCTAAAGAGCTCCCAAAGGCTGATTAGTTTGTGAAGAATGCTGCTGTGTTCGCAGGAAGATCTGGGGGCATTTTGTAACGTGGAGTGTGCGCTCAGTGAATGTTGATCCTATCAACTACTCTGCAGCCAATTCATTGCAGCTAGCAGTCAGCAAGGGCCCACCGGCAGCTCTTTGGAAGGGCCCTTTCCAAGCTTGGGAACATCCTACAGGGACTGGTCTACAGAGCATCTAGGAGAAAGAATCATTCTGGAAGGGGCACTTTGAGAGGACCCTTTGGCTTGAAGAACGCTCATGGACCAATTTGGACATCCTTCCAGAAACTGTGCGGTGACTGAGCACGTACGAATCATCGCTCGGTGTCTGATACGCCGTTGTTTCTCCTTGCCAGGAGGAGCCTCTACCAGCTTCTTCAGCTTGGACAAAATCCAAGATCAGCCAACAGGTCAGCAATGACACTTGCAAAACAAAAGTAGAAGGGCAGTGATCTGCGTGACAGCTGGCAGTGGTTTGCACGACAGCTGGCTGGCCGCACCAAATCGTATACTGTACGCCACAGAACAGGAATGTACATGCTGTGGGTTTTTCTTTTCTTTTTATTCTACTGTTTCTGCTTGTGAGAGCGTTAGAACAAGGTTCTACAGTAGCTGTGCCTTGAGGAACTTCAGAGACTATCCAACAGTTCTAAGCTGCAGCCAAGGAGCATGCTGACTGAGGTGTTACAGAATCTTTCGAGACTAACCCACAATTTTGAGACACAGTCAAGGGTTTTGCGTCAGAAGAGAAGCTCTTGGAGATGCTGATGGCTGTGAAGCTGCAGGAGTTTGATTCCCACTCAATCATCACAGAGTTACCTTCCCTCAGAAGTCTGCAGCCTTTGTGCCTCTTTCACAAATATATACGAAGTGCCAAGTTGTTGCCGCTAAAGGTGCTCGATTTTGGGTGATCAGGTAAAGGTAGAGACGCAGGATGGGCTCGTCAGTGACCGCAGCCAGTCAATTGTGAGACATAGAGATACATTCCTTCAAACACTGCAGTTCTCCTTCCAAGTAAACGAATTCTAACTTTGGCAAATCATCTCCGCCCGGGGGTGTGGCCTCAAACAAAAAGGAGAACGCGATTTCAAAACCTGCAAGTTATAGGATTGGTCGTCGACCATTGTTGGCCAGCCGTGTTTGAGACATTTATTTGCTTCTATTAGACCCTGCAGTTCCCTCCCAATCCAACGAAGCTGACAATGGCGTCAAAGTCGGTGTCGCCAAGGTGTTTGGCGCCCGACAAGAAGGAGAGCGCGATTTGAATGGCTGCAAAGATGCGAAGTTGGCTTTTAATCATCATTCTGCACTTCGCTCCTCAACTCAGCAATGCTTACAATGGCCTCAGAATCGTCGCCCCCAGGGGGTCTAGCGCCTGACGAAAACAGACCGTAACTCCAATGACTGCAACCACCTGAAGTTGGCTTTTCAAACAATCACGGCCCACCGCTCACAAGACACGATCATCGCACTCGAGTTCTCATTCAAAATTGACAATGTCGTCAAAGTCGTCGCCGCCAGGGGATTCGTCCCCCGACGAGGAGGAGACCGTACTCCAATAATTGCAAAGACCCGAAGTTGCCTTCTCAACAATCATGGAGTGGTTCTCAAGACACAATCATCTCACTTGAATCCTGCAGTTCTCAACAACGCTGACAATGGCGTCAAAGTCGTCGCCGCCAGGGGGTCTAGTGCCTAACGAGAAGGAGACCGCAATCCCGATGCCGGCGAAGGCGCAAGGTGCGCAAGCGAGGAAGCATGAGGGCCTGATCGACTACAGTATGGTGGACGGAGCGAACCTGTTCAAGCCGCCAAATCCGAACAGCCCGCTCGTCGCGCCCCTGAGGGACCTCAAAAAAGCAGGACTGGTAAGTGGGTTTTCAGGCGTCGTGTTAGAGTGGGCGTCCTGGGACCTGGAACGCCTGATGTCACATAGCGACCTTCGATGCAAGGCTTCTGCTCTTCTGTCGCCACAAATGTTGGTGTTTATGATTGTGCCCCGAGCACTGGGCCCTGCAAACAGTAGCCGGGTCATGATATTGCGTAGACGTCCCCTTTCGAGTTGTGGAGTGAGCTTTGACGGAAAGCCCGTGGCGAGGAAGGGCGGTAGCTCTTCTTTTCACTACAATGGGGTCTGGATTTTGTGGCGAATTTCGGCTCCTCGTTCTCGAGAAGGAAAAAGAGAGGAAGCAGGCCATCACTCGTTTCGGCAGAACGCTAAGGTCACGTTTCTCCTGTATGCAGACTCCGCATGGCACGTCTAAATAAAAACTTCAAGAAGGCTAATCGGCCTCTCTTTCTCAGCAAGTAAATAGAGAGGAGACAGACTATATTCTCTACCGCAGACGTTGACTAAGGTCGTATGTCCTCCCCGTCTGCAGATCCCTCACGGCACGTATATATACGACGCCAACCACCCGATCCGGCTCCTCTTCCGGATGACCGGAACCGCCGCCAAGATGGCGTTCCTCAGTTCCAGTTTCTGGCTAATCATATGCGCCCACGTGTTGCTCCTCATCTGCTACTACCAGACCGACCATAATAAGATCCGCATCGATACGACACCTGGCAACACGCCGTGGCCGTTTCTGCGGTCGAGTACATATGCCGGCTTCCTGGGGACGCTGGTCTCGTTCGTGCTCGTGTTTCAGACGACGCAGAGTTATAATAGGTGAGCTAACGCCGGCACATGGCGCTTGCTGTGGAAAGTCAGCTCGTTTCTTCACCGGAATGACGAGTCGTTCTTTGTAAGGATAAACCGACACCTGTCGGACGTTTGGAAACGGATGAATCATAAAAGTTTGTCGTTCTTGGCTAGCCAAGGCGCGAATGATCTACAGGTGTTAGGACCAGAGCTTGGCGTAGAGTTTGGAAGGATGACGTTTAAGTCCGCGGAAGTACAACGCTGGGGCTCAATGCGAACTCCGTCTGGAGCGAGACGAGAAGAGACCCCAGTTTTGAAAAAACTGTTGCATGTAATAATCATGTTCGAAGGAACAGTACTCGTGAACCTGACTGGAGTTGTTTGAAGCTTGACTGCAAAGCAAAGCCCGTTTCAGGTCCGCAGTACAGCGAAACTTCCTCCTTCATCTCCATAAAGTATGACTGTCGGCTGTGACCCCAGACGCGTTAAGAAGGAACCCATTTGCTTACTTTGCCCTGCGCCAGCATCTGAAACGCAGTCACGTAACTCATCAGTCCTAAACTTTTTCACCGGTGACCAATCGCACTCTGCCCCAGAGGCCATGTCGCCCCGCATGACTGACGAGCGCAAACCCGCCTACATCTGAACCGCAGTCTATAATTCATTTAGAAAGTGTGTTAGTCGGCGACCGAAGCGCACTCTTTCCCAGGAGCCCGGTCGCCCGGCATGCCTGACGAGCGCAAATGTCGTGCAGGTTTTTCGTGCAGTACGACGCGTGCAACCTGGTCGCAAAAGCCGCGTGGCAGTTCACGACGGACCTGCGGACCCGCTTCGATGACGACCGCTTCCCAGGTGGGCCGCTCTGCCTTGTCAAAGTTTCAGGGTTGTAGGATGTCGGGCCTTCAGGGATTTTGGTTTTTTTGTTACGGTGAGATCACGTTTTTCCAGGGTTTCAAAGTTAGCAGCGCTCCAACAGATTAGTGTGGTGAGCAGTGCTTTGTACCAAACGCTCAACAGGCCTGGAGCAGATCCTACGTTGGTCCCTGATGATTCAAACCGGTTCGTTGCATCTAATGGTTCTGGTCTATCAACCCGGTTCAAGGTTGACAACTTGAGAAATGGAAACATACCCTGAACGCAACCCAAGCTAGACAAACCAGGTTTCAGATTCCCGGAGAAGTTATCGTCCGGCTTTGGTTTTGCCAGGAGCGGATATCGTCAGCAAGAAGCTTCTCAACATCATCGTATCGCGTGCTGCTACCTCAGTTTCGGCTGGCTCCCTCGCCACAAGAAAGCTAAGTGATCGGTTGACCAGCAACTTAAGCAGTGTGTTAACGCGCCCCTACTTTCTCTTGGCAGGCGCAACTGTCGTCCGCAAGAAACTGCTCAACTATTGCATCGCCTGCTGCTACCTCGGCTTTGGCTGGCTCCCGCACTACAAGAAAAACGACCTCCACGTGTGGACACTAAAACGAGTGCACGACCGACAGCTGCTGACGCCAGAGGAGGAGGCGCACATCTTGGCGCTGCCCGAAGGAGTGAAGCCCGTCTTTTCGGTAAGTTTTTTGAACGGAATATTGAAAAGGGCGCTGCAAACCAAGGTCCCGTTTGCAACCATTCGTACGATTTTCTTTCAAAAGGAAAGACTGACTCTGCTTCCTTACTTTTTCCGAGTTCTTTTAGCTTGTTTTCGCACGACAAGAAATCGTCCTTCACGTCGGGACGCTGATACGAGCACGACAGCCAGCACCGACGCCTGACGAGGAAGCGCACATACTGGCTTTGCCCGAAGGAGTGAAGCCCATTTTCTTGGATTAAACAGAGAGTTTGGAGTTCGTGTTGTGAACGAGTCTCTACGTGGATCTTTTCCGGTCTCAAAACTGGACAATTGAGACCAGTCGAGGGTTGCTGGTCAGACGAAATTCGCATGTGCTTATTGATCTCATGTGTGAGATCCGGTGGGCTTTTGGTTCATAGAGTCACGGAAGAGCGGAAAACCCCCTCTGACTCCACCCGGTTGCCTCCCTTGTACGGTGTGCCTTGTCCTTCCGCTGATTATCCGACGCCTTCTTGGTTCCACTACAATGTCCGTCTTTCTGGTGAGGGGCTTTCAGGAGATCCATCCAGGGGCGGAAGCACTCCTGTATTTCCCCCTCTTTTTCCTCTTGTCTTTTTTCTTGTTCCAAACGAAAGAAGCACTCGTCTAAACGCCCGGTTTTCTCCCCCGGCCAGGTCGTTAAAAGGACAATGTACCTGATCTTCCAGAGTGTTTCTGGCGGGGGCACATCACTGGCCGGCTCGTTAGAAAGTATACCTTCCAATCTATCAGTAGTAAGCTGCATCAACAACGAGGTCATGCGACGAAGCTGATAAAATCCAAAGCCCTAAGCGAATCCTCCACCTTCTCCGTACACAAACCCGCCCTACCCCCCGAGCCAACCCCTACTATCCACCGAGCTTGACGTCGTATCTACACGCTTCTTTAACTAGAAGAGAATTTTCAGAGAGCTCGACCAAGAACGAAAGTACTCGTCTAATGCCGGTTGTTTCTGCCGGCCAGGTCGTCAAGTGGACGTTGTACCTCATCTTCCAAGAAGTTCGGGCGGGGCACATCACCGAGCGGACCACTCACTTTTTCTCCCTAATTTTCTTTTTTATCCGTTTCCCCCTGCCTCCCAATTCCGACCGCACTAATAAATCAGTCCTCTGAACGCAAGCGCTTGTTTCTTTCTGCCAGGTCGTCATGCAAGTGGACGATGTATCTCATCTTCCAGGAATTTCTGGTGGGGGCACATCACTATACCTCCCGACCTATGAACACGAAGCTGCATGAGAAATGGGGTCCTGCGACAAAGCTGATAAAACCCAAAACCCTGAACTGAACTCTCCTCGGCTTCCGACTCTCCTGCGCTAACCCTCGAGCCAACCCCATCCATGCACCGTGCTTAACATTCGTATCCATTTGCTTCTTTAACTGTAAGAACTCTCAAAGATAGCTCAGCCGTGAACGGAAGCACTTATCTAAGTCTCCGGCTGTTTCCAGGTTGTCAAGTGGACGATGTACCTGATCTTCCAGGAGTTTCGGGCGGGGCACATCACCGAGCGGTCCCACGACATGCTGGCCACCGCCTTCCTCCGACTCTTCAACGGATTCAGTACGCTGTATGAGTATGCGGCTATGCCGGTGCGTTTCAAAGCCTTTCCTAAAAGGACAAGCGATATGGACTCTGTTTCGAAGCTAGCTGAAAGACCGCTTTTGTCACAATTCCTTTGCAGAATCAAGCCCTCTTGCCACGGGAATGCTTCAAGTCGCGATACCGTACGTTGTGCTTTTTGAACGTCGGACACGACAGCGTCGTGCAAGCGTTCGAAGCAGAACGCAAAGGAAATCCAATTGTTTCCCCAATCCCCGTAAAATTTCGTCGAGCAGGCAGGGCCGACGCATCCGCTTTTGTAGCAAGCATGATCTATGTTTTTATCCATTCGAAACCTAACGAAGTTGATGAGCATACCCCTCACAGAAAGATCAATCGGTGAATAATAGGGTCGAACATGTAAAAAGAGAGAGAGAGCTCCATCCACCAGTCCGGCCTGTATGAGCATGAACATCCAAGTCGTTAAAAGGATTGGCGTTTTGCTCGTGATCAACGTGCCGGTAAAACCTCCTCGGCATCATGCAGAAAGCGGACAATTAGCGAAGCGTTTTTGAATATGGAAGGCGTTGCAACTATCGTTTCGCAGCTAGCATTCATGGAACCTGTTTATCCTTCATCATTCAGCGACCGATTCGTCCCTGTACCTCGGGGCCTTTCAGGTCTCTGCACTCACAAAGGGTCCTCCCTATTGCTCTTGTTTTCTGCTGCACAGCAACTTCTCCTATGTGAGAAAAACATTTGATCTTTTTCGTCAACAAGAATCGCCACAGACGTCCAACCGGCGCGGTCACAGAACATGACAAATGAAAGCTTTGGGAGTTTCTATGCAGGTACCCTTTGCGTTCTACCACCTTCTGAACGTGATGGCTATCGGGTACCTGCTGATTCTGGCCTACACTCAGGTATGCCCCTTCTTTTCAACTGCTCAAGTTCGCTCACGCCTAGCATCCACTTGTGTTCAAAACGGTGGGCATGAAAGTCCGTCGAACAAATGGCTCGTTTCCAGGTTCCAAGAGTAACCTAGAGATTGTCTTTGTTGGTGACGGTCTGAGCGAGGCTTTCCGCCAGCGCCTCCGGCCGAGTTCTTCTGGGGACGGCATTTTGGATTGGTGTGCGGGTTCCTTTTTCCTATGAATTTGCAGAGTTATGATCGCTCTGATTTCGTACGAGGTGTTCTCTTTCAATTGGTGATCAGTTTTCTGGTGATCTGACCGATTTCCGTAGGCTGTACACTAAAAGATGTCAGTAGATGCCTGATCGGTCACTGGTCCTCGCTCCGCTCCCACTTTTCTTGTTTCCAGTTACTGATCCATTCTCCCGATTGATCTTGACCCCCCCCTTTTTGGTCCCTGGCATGATCTTCTTCCAGTCACTGCAGTGGTCCATTTCCCGATGCTTCTGACCGTCCTCTGCACGCCGGGCACTACAGATTCTCTGCAATAGCTACGAAGCCCCGGGCAGATACATTCAACCGGTTCCTTGCGCTGATCGTATAGCAGACCCACTCTCGCCTCTCTACTTTCCAGGTGTTTGCCTCCGGTTACTGGTCCATCTTTCCGATAATCTTGACCGTCCTCTGCACGTTGGGCATCTGTGAGCTGTCCGAACGGGGTCGCTAGATCCTTTACCGGTCACTTGCCTGAAAGTGCACACTAAAACTCTTTTTTTCCGCTCCCAGGTGTTTTCATCCGGTTACTGGTCCATCTTTCCGATGGTCTTGACCGTCCTTTGCACGCTGGGGATTCGTGAGCTGTCCAATGCGCTCGCGGACCCTTTCGGTTGCGACGAAACGGACATCCCCGTTCTGGACAGCGTCCTGCTGTGGGACTGGTTCTTCACCGACTGTGCGATGGGGCACATCGAAAAGTTCAAGTACACGGTAGAGTCGGAGTAGCTTCGACGGGTCACGTCGAATCACTGTTTTGTTGTTGTAAGTTTGCTTGCCGCAAACAGAAATGCGTCGAGGCAAAGTTGCGTTGGCGAGTGCTTTTCACAGGGCCCCGGGGGGACCGAAAGGCTAACGAGAAGCAACGAAGCCGGTCTGTTCCAAGCAACGCGAGTTGTGGGATCTTAACATGTCATCTTGAGTTGCACCGCCTGCTAACTGATTAATCTTAGAATTGTCAATATTTGGAGCCCGCGCTTGAACTTGATTGCTAGCAAGAAGGGCCGGCTTCGGAAGTCGCTTCACATGGAACATCCAGGGAGATTTCAGAGTCAAACTAACCGTTTAGACCGAGAATTCTTACACACTTTGCATTTGTTTACAAATTCCTGAGGCCTCGCATGACGGTAAAAAGGACAAATAAAGATACCGTACAAGTTTATAGCTAGGCTAGAGAGACATGCCAAACGGAAGAAGATCGATCGAAGAATCGGCAAAACATTACCATGTTGCTCAAGTCCAAATTTGGATCCGAACTCGGTACGTTGCAAGCTCGCATGCATGTCCGATCTGTACCGTATACGGTTTAAATCAGCCCGAATCTGCGCGGCGGCCTTGCACTCAAGCATGCAGGAGTCCCTGCAGACTCACGATCCAGTGCGCAAGGAACATTCTCACTCAAAGAGCTCCGCCCGCGTTGATTATGGACGGTTGTAGTCTTGTGGGCTGGTTAAGACTGAAGTGGTCGTACACGTCCTATAACCGGATTGGGCGATAGAGCAAGCTTTAGAGAAGCTGGCAAGTCTATTGAACGCTTCATTGTACGTCGGCTAAACCTGTGGCTCGTGCAAGCCTGGCTGGCCGGCGAGCCTACAACATTGAAAGTAGATAGGTATTGGATAATCGGTCAATGACTCTGACGTCGACGGGCCCTGCCGGTGCAGACCCAGAATTGCATCCAGGTTTAGCTGTTTCGATATGTTCCGCGCGGACAGTACTCGGTGGCCCTGACAACAGCGACGCATGCAATCAACTGATAACTGACGTACTAATACTTCTGTTCGTGTGCTTCAATCTGTTCGTACGTACCTAAAGACAAAACATCCGTTACCGTTGTACTGTACTCTATCGATTCGAAACAAGGCGTGTAACTGCTCGCAGGATCGAACTAGGCTATTATCTGACACTTGCGCTCTTCAACTTTGTTTCGAAAGTAGTATATGCGCAACTTGACAGCTGTGCATGCGTTCCGTCACAGCAGCCTCTCTATCCGTATATTACACGCTTTTCATAGGTTTCATAACCGGGCGGTAAGCACCTACCTTCCTATCTGTGACGACAACTGAGCCCGGTCTATATATTGGCGTTGTTGGATCTTTACTTGACGCTTCACGATCCTACTTTGCGCCAGCACGGCTGTAGCTCCAAAGGTTTCGGCTTGAATGTACTGAAATGATAGTTATTTTGGTCGTTGATATTACATCAAAGAAGAGGAACCTCGCGGTTGAAAATCCACGAGAACCGGGCACTCTGCCGGCCGGGCTTCTTCTTCGCTTTCGCCGCGAGCCGGTCGCCCAGGGCGCTCACCCGAGCAGGCAGTCGGCACAGGTAATCCTGCATAAAGGATTGGGTCGTACACGGTCATACGCCGTCTGTTCGCCTATACATACAGAAGGGATTCTGGAACGAGATTATAGGTAGTTTTGAGATCGTCTCTGTAGATTTGGCTGGAGCCTGAGGTTCTCGAGTCGTAGTCTACACATGATTTGGCGTACTTGTCATATGTGTGAAGCAGGGAATATAGGCTCGATGCGAATGCATACGCATACTCCACAAAATCCCAAACGAGAGACGCTAACACACATAACATGCGCTACGGCTACGGCCGGCCTATGATAAACGGGAAAGAAAAGGGTATGGAATGATCCGTACCTGCATGGCCTCTGCCTCGGGAGAGAGCCCCGAGCGCTCTTCCACCTTCCAGAACCTCACAAGGTGCTCGACGATGTCAGCATAGTCCCGCGCAGTGTAAACCCCGACCTTCTGAGCGACCTTCGAAGGACGGAACAAAACCAGGTTAGGTTCGTTCCTGATTGCCTTCACCCTCAATTCGCGCGGACCAATTGGACAAATGTTTTGGACACGAAAGAGACGAGTTGAGTAGGATCCGACGTTCAAAGGACGTGGAAAAGCCAAGGTTAGTTTCGTCAAGTCTGCCCTTCAAGTTTTTCTCCGCGCCAAACTCTGGGTCGAATTTTGCTGATTTGAATGAGACAAACGAAGTAAACTGTCGAAGGAGAAAGTGACCCAAGACAGCCCATTCAAAATATTGTAAGCTGAACGCCGCTGTCAGAAACGAGGTAAGTTGACGCGTCTCGAAAAAGAAAGATGGAACAAACACGAGACGGAAGGAGTTCCTCGCAAACCATTCCCGGAACTGCACAGCGTTTCGTTTGAAACCGTCGGACCTTGATACGCTGGCAAAGACGTGAAGAAGGATGTCAATCAGAATAGTGAGTTGCTAAAAAGCCTGTACAACTTTGCAATCAGAAGAACCAGTGTTCCCAGGAACGGGGTTTCTCTCTGTGCCCCGGCATGAGAATAGAAAAATGAGAAGGTAGGTACGGGAGAGCAAATCTCACAGCTAAGATTGAGAGGAGTCACGGTGACCAGGTAAGTTGTGCAAAACCTTTTCGCTCGTCTGACTGATGCGTAACAGGTAGCGCAATGAAATTCACGAGACTGGTATAAGCAACCTCAGAAACTGGTGAACAATTTGGTTTCTCCAAAAAGACCCACCTCCGAAAAGTCCTTGAATAGCGTCTCGCTCTTCCCATCAAACATGTAATGCGCCGGCATCGTAATCTGTTTCTGCATCATATCCCCAAAAGCCATAGTCGCCCCGTTTGGATCTAGATCGAAGCACTTTCCGATGATCTTCTTGTACGCCGTCTCGTGGCGCCGCTCGTCCGCCGCGATCGTTCCGCACAGCTTCGCGAGGACGGAATCCCCGGCGGAACGCGCGAGGCGCGCGGTCGCGCCGTGCGAGACGAACGTCGCGCGCTCTTGGAAGGAGGTGTAGATGAAGCCCAAGTACGGGTTATTCTCCGTTTTCGGGTCCTGAAAGATAACAAAAAAGCAACCGGTTGGCTACGGACGTGGCGCTAAAAGTATCGAGAGAAAGAATGGTGATTAAGCGCAGACATAGTCCTGCCCGACGAAGATGATTGGAGACCTGTGAACGCCACAACCACGGATGCGCTCTGAACAAGCTCGCCAACGATTTGGGGTTGTGTACGCGTACAGCACGAGTAGCTTTCAGTCCGGTTGTTTGAGAAAGAATATTGTTTCCTCACTCTGGTCTCAATTAGACGTAACGGAGTTTTTTATTTCAGAGTTCGGAATATTTTTTCGTGCCGGATCCTAGATCGTTAACACCCAATGACTGCGAGACTGCGCATCCTGTCAGGAAGTTTGAGACACCTGCAAGGAGTGAGCTCGTTGCTAAAGTACCGTCCTCTTTCGATGATGTCTAGTAACTGCATGACCAACATGTAGCAAACATCGCCTTTAAGCACGCAGTCTCTTGCGGAACAGTCCCTCAAGCATCGCCGCTTCGTGTGAATTGATCTGCAGAAGTAGATCCAACCTCTCACCATTCCCGACCCAATAAGATACTGCGTCGTTCTCTGCACGGCTTGCATATCCACCCTTCCCGTCAGGTACAAATACTGCTGTAACGCGTCTCCGTGCCGGTTCTCTTCCGCAGCCCAACCCCGGCCCCAAACGGCCCACGGCGTTACGCTCGCCCCGCTTTCGTCCCGGGTCACATCGAGAGTGTTAAGCATCGTCAGGTAAGTCGGCAGGGCTTCCTCTGACACCATGTCGCCCACCAAGCAGACGAGGACGTCGTCCGGAATTCCGGCGGAACGCGCACGGAGGTCGGCGACGCGCGCGAGGAAGTCGTCGGAGGAGGGGTCCGGGAGAAAGTCCTGTAGTAGACAGTTCCCAAGTTCGATTGGCGATGTTGATTCCCAGGTTTGAGAAATCAAAATATGGAACAGAGCCGGCTGCTTCGAAGCTTACGTGCAATGAAATGCTCCCAGCTGAAGGAAGAGTTTCAGCGTTTTCAAACCAGGCGCGCGCGGAGGTCAGGAGACACGGATCACGTCGTTCGAGTGTCAGGAGCAAAGTCCTGCGAGTCATTCGTGAAGAGAAGGGAGATAGGACAGGTGCCCGCAATGCAAGCAATTTTTTTTCATTTGTGTGGTGCGGATCTGCTTTTGGCCGATGGCGATTCAAGCAGTCCATAGCCTGGGAAAAAGCTGGAGGGGTCGTTAAAGGAAGGGTCCGGAAGAAAACGTTGCAAGAAGAAAGCGTCGACTCACTTAGCATCAGTGGTTATCTGCCGTGTAAACAGCATCTAACACTCCAAACTTTCTCTACTTTTATGTTACAATGGGCTGGAAAAGTTTCTGGCCGTTGAATCTCGGAGCGGATTTCAAGGTCCTGCGAAATTCACGGTACAGAGTTTCGATGCAATTGAGGGCTAAGATGCCGTTGACTGGAGAGGAGGAGCACTCGGCCACACGCGGAAAGTCGCCTGGCAAGGTATCCAAAATGAGGTCCTGCAAAACTAGGATGAACCGGAACCGAAATCTGAATCGGATGAGAGGAGCATAGTTGGCAGTCAGGACTCGAAGGCATCCGACGGCTGAGATGGGCATCGACTGGCCAAGGAAACTTGTTGAGAGTCGTTAGTCGCGCTCGGATCAAGCACAAACAGCGCGTCGTTTGTAAAACTCGTACTGGCATACCTAGTGAAAGGAGAAACGAGCAGAATGTACTGGGACTACAGGAACCTGGAAGGATTATGTGTGAATACGTCAAATGTTGAAAGCGAGGTACAGCACGCGTCTCAGATAGTCAGGGGCTGCTTGCATTCACAAGAATCCGTACCAAAAGCGCACTGAAAAGGCTTGAGCGCTCAGGTCCTAATGTTCGGAGTCTGCCGCAAGATCTGTGGGAGGGTATATACATGGAACGGCCCACATCACACATACCAATCTTTGAATGTCTGCGCTCCAGTATGAATATCACTTGCCTGAAAGCGGCTACAGTTGGTGAGTCTTTCCGGCTCGAACGCAAATCGAGTCTCCTATAGCTTGTTTACACCTCTAAAATCACACAAGAACGCAGATGCACGGTGACCAGAAGGGAAAGGACCAGCTCTTCTGTCACCGAGAAGTTCTTCAGAATCACATACAGAATCTGCTTCAGATAAGCTCACCGCGGGCTGCCAGTTTGTGCTAGGGTCTTTTAGCATCGGCACAATCTCCGCTTCCATCCAGTCCGTCAGTGACGCCACGACCTCCGCCCCGTTTTGTGTGAGACTGTGGGTCTTTCCCCACGAAGTTTGTCGGCGCTGTTTTGGATGCGTAGCGCTGGGTTTGGGGGGGGTTAAGACCGGAGTAGGCTCTTGGGCTGGGGGCAGTTGATTTGGGATTGCAACGGGCACTGCCCTGGAAGAACAAGACAGAACTTCGATTTCTGCAGATTCTGAGAGTTGTGGAGGTTGGTGTGCTTGATCAGGTGCGAAGGCACGTTTGGAACTGATTCCTGAAGACGAGCACACTGCTCTTAAAGAAGTGGATGCCAATTCTGCTTTTGGTTCTGAGCATTGCGTCACTCATGTATGGAAACTTGACATCATGATAGACAACATCTTGAAATTGTGACGACCCTGAAAGAACGAGGCGACAACTCTTCTTTCTGCTGTGACTTTTTGTGGGTTCAAAGTGACCCCAAGCCTGTGCGACGGAGTATGCACTGGGAGTAACCTGAGCACTGATCTTGTATAGGGAGTGACCTTTCACAGCTCTTTTCAACCAAACCCCTTACTTGAAAATTAAATGATAAATGATAAATGCAGGCTGGTCTAGTTGACACTAAGACTAGGAGGTTGGTCGGAAGGAGTTGTAGAAAGTGACCTTGTATGGAGTAATCTTCTGGTTATGACCAATCTCCTTGAAGACATATAACTCTGACAGGGCTTTGTAAACTTTTGACGTAAAAAGGTGAACGGGGCGAGTGCTTCCCGTTCCTTCTTGCAGGACTAGGGAGAAGGTGGACCGTACCGCCACGGCCTTTTCCTTGGCACAGCCCACTCATCACTTCCTTGTCTCTTTATATCTATCCATTGAGACCCACTTTGATAGTATGAGAGCACGTCCTGCTCAGTGGCACTATCCAGTTGCAGCATTGACCCTTCCAGTTATGAAAATGACCAAGATGAGAGCCGAAATCAGCATAGGCGTTTCATCACACATGGGACAAGCCTACTCCTATCTATGATCAGCAGTCAATCGAGTTAGCAATTAACCACTTCTCGAAGGGCCGCTAACCCCCACCATTGAGCATGAAAAACTATCGAGCACGAAATGTGGCCTAGCTCAACCAGCACTGACAGCTGGTTCCAAGTCAACATGGGTCTGGGCCAGTCATGTTTCGATGCAAAAAGGCAACAAAGCCTACTTCCTATCAAAAGTATCAGCTCATTTGGGGCTAAGTCACCTTGCAATGTCAGCAACCTGTGTCATTGAGCAAGCCACTCTGGGACGGCAGCCGATTATCGCAGGGTCAATTCCTCTCCCGCGTTTCAGCCCTCCGGTTCTGTATTGCCCCAGAAGCGAGCGCTGTAAAACCAGTTTGCTGGCCAACCATGTCTGCAAGGCACCCTGCTCTTGGGGAATCGTGCATGAGAAACTAGACACTGGGCAGCGCGTGTCAACATGTGGCAAGACTGCCAAGGCCATTGTGGTGTCAATTGTTTGGCTGGATGCCTGGTGCGCTGATCCAAATCCGTTAGAACACTGTCAGCAGCTGAAAGGCGAGCCCAGCTCAGATGTAACGCTGGGCAGTATTGGGCAGCTCAGGTAGAAGTTTGCTGCTCGTTCTTGTTTCTAAGTCTGGTTCTGCTGCTTTCAAGACCGAAATGCTAAGGAAGGACAGCTTACTAAACGGCGCGTGTCGGCATGAGGCCGTGTTTCCAAGGCTACTAAGCTTGACCGATACTCGTGCGTGAATGGGCAGCTCGGATTGAATGCGGCTTTGATCTGCAAGGTGCTACACAGCTTTTGATCAGCCTTGTCAGCTCAAGCGGACCGGCAATACCTATATGTTGCATCGGATTAGCCCGCTTTGTTATCCAGGAGTCGTGAATTTGTCTGAATCAGAGATTGAGGTAGGTCTATTCTTTGCTTGTCAAGCTAGCGACATGCAGGAATGAGAAAACGTGGGACTAAAAGTTGAATGACCCTCAAGATTTCAAAGCCGCTGATTTGACTCGAGCTCCTCTGCAAAATCCTTCAGACACGTTTCCTGAATCTGCAAGCAGACCGTGTGGAATTGCAGCCCGAAAAGCCTCAGCTGGCTAGCTCCCAGTGCTGGATACATATACATGTAGAACAACTTAGCTTCTAGTACGTTTAGATCTACCGTATTCTGGATTGGAAGAAGCAACCTCACTCAGTCTTCTTCTACTAGTACAGAGCGGACTCTTTAAATGTACCTACGGTATCGTGATCGACACGCGGACAACCTGGTACCCAGGACCGTACCTAATTGGTTAGCACGGCATTATGCGGGGAGAGCGTATGATGTCGGATGATGGTACGGAACATCGCCTTTTCAGCGACTGTGAGCTCGAGGTCTCGGGCGTTCAGTCGCCTGGACTCACAAGTCACTTCAATGCCAATTATCGTACGGCCCCGCCCCTCTCCGTGTTCACTCGGAAAAGGATGAACAATCTGAGGACACCACGCTCATCAGCTGGAGACGTGGGACTCCTATACCTGGCGATGGTCGCCGGAGCGCGGGTGCCAAACCGCACGGCGGCCCCTGGGAGGCGGC